CAATAGCACTTCCTTAAGAATGTGGGGAATGCTGTGTAAGGGAAGGGTGTCTTCTTATGAGACATTCAATTACCCCTCACTTGAGTATTGTGTCTCAAATGTATCGCATATAATATATACAAATATTTAGTTTAAATAGTTTTGCCCACTTTTTTCGATGTAATTTAATTGAAGAGAAAACACGAAATATGTGGTAATGATCGCATAAATTCATGTTTCATTTCATCAAATTACTGTTAATAAGCCACTAATTCAAGTCTACACTTGAATCCAGGTATAAGTTTCTCTCACATTCATCGAGACTTTTGTTGCTAACGTCTCATACAAATGACTGGATAGTTATGTTCATTATATCCCACATTCATAATACACTACATTAAAGGGGATAATTGGCATAAAATGTAGTTTGAGAGAAAAACTGATACCTTTCCCTTGACACCACATCTCATTGAACATTAGATTTATGGGATATTCATACGTGCCATCCATAGACTGACATCTGATGGACAGGTATGCATCAGAATGGGATCGGAGCGGTTCGCCTGAAATGTTACTCCGTTTCAAAGCACTTGTTTTGTATGTTTATGTGCGGACAACATGTTTGGCGCCACTAATGGCTAAAAAAGGCTACAAAACACATAGAAATGCATTGAATGTATGGATGTATGCATAGAGTAGTGACAGACCTATCGAGCGCTCATTTAAAGAGCATTTGATTCATGAATCAATTCATACAATGTTTGCCTTAAATTCAATGCACTTTTCGCACAATTTTTAATACTATTTATATTTGCATTCAAAACGCGTTTTGTATTTTATATCCAATTTTGTGATACAATTATCACATCTCATGTCCATTGATGTGTTGTTGTGGACAAACACTTGACATCGCGTTCACATCAGATCCCGTTGTCTTCATGTTGTGATCAGACACCAGACATCACCCAATGGTGTCTTTGGAGGACGAGGTGTCCAAACAGCAGATCTTCAGAGACGTGCAGTTCTCGCTCTGTGAAGACGTGTCTCAATACGAGAATGTATTACCATTTCACTCATTGTTGTCTCCTTTCAATCACTTGTTAACCCTTTTATCCAATTGTTGTCATCACTCGTGTCGGTGGCCAACAGGTGAAGAAGTTGTTGCTGTCAGGAGGCGCCAAGTTCTTCAACTACCTCTCCGACAATGTCACTC